TTGTTACACAGCATTAGCTAACTAAAACACCTCCCATTAAGGTTACAGGTCCCTGAGAGCAGGAAGCATGTCTGCTTTGCTCATTACCGGGTCTCCACTGTCTAGAATGTTTCCTGGCAGATGGCAGGTGCTCTATACATATTTGTGGGAAGAAGGAGAGAAGGAGGGAGGGAGGGAGGGAGGGAAGGGTTTTCAGAACTGCACCTCCCGGGATGATGTCCATGAGATGTAGGTGAAGCTGGTCACTGCCCACCAGCCTCTGTGTGTATATAAGGTGTGGGTTTTTTTTTGGGGGGGGGATGCTGTATATATCATACACAGTACTTACTACCTCATTCCATGACCAGGGCTGGGGATGCCAGAATGAAGATTTGTTACCTAATAAAGAATTGTCCTGCACCCGCATGACTCTGGAACATTTTGCCAGACCCGTATGTAGGTTAAAAAAAAAAAGTGTTTATGAGTATCTGAGTCCAGGAAGTGTTTTTGCTTATTAACCACAGGGTTAGAGGGGCCCAGGGCCACCTGTGGGAACATGGGTGGGATGCTTGTGGTGACCACACATTGCAGAGCAGAGGGCGAGATGCTGGAGACCCCCCATCTCCCGCCATCCAGAGGCTCTGCATCGAACAGGAGATACTTGGTGTAAACTAAAGGACTATTTCAAACCTGCTTCCAGCCTCCCTGTGAGGGTTCTGGGCAGCCCCCCACCCCCATGAAGGTTACTTGTAGCCTCTGCCATTGAACTGGGAGCCCTCTGGGGTGGAAACCAGGGCCAGGCCACCCCTAAGCTTGTCCCTGGGCACAAAAAGGGACGTTGGTGAATTTCTTTAAAATGTGCTATGGAATTTGAATTCAACAGCTCACACAAAAGTAGACAAACTGGTACAACAAAGCCCCATACACCCATTGCTCAATTTTCAACTTGTTGCCAGTCCGGCTTGTTCTGTCCTTTGCCTTTTCGCTCAATCTGTACACATTTCAGTGTGTTCCTCCTACCGATAAGAATATTTAAAAATGGGGGCGCCTGGGTGGCTCAGTCAGTTAAGCCTCTGCCTTTGGCTCAAGTCATGATCTCAGGGTCCTGGGATCGAGCCCCACATCGGGCTCCCTGCTCAGCGGGGTGTCTGCTTCTCCCTCTCCCTCCGCCTGCCATTGCCCCTGCTTGTGCTCTTTCTCTCTGTCAAATAAATAAATAAAATCCTTAAAAAAAAGATATTTAAAAATGTATAGCAAACACCATGCTGTTACTAGCCCTAAAATTAAATCATCTCTGAATATCATATAATACCCAAATTATTATTTCCCTGATGGTCTCAAAGCTGCCTTTTTTTTTTCTTTCAACCTGCAGCAGCACACCCTTAAGTACAAGTGGAAAACCACGGGTCCCCACCCCAGCGCCCATGCTTACCAGCACCCTTTGCTTTGTGTGCAATAATAGCCAACACTCGTAACATGTGTCCATGTGCCGGGCGTGGTTCATTTTTTATAACAGTTTGGTTGAGACAGAATTCACATACTATAAAATGTAAAGTACACAAATCAGTTAAAGTGTATAATTGGATTCTTTGTAGTGGCCTGCAGATCAGTGGCTTAGAAACCAGTGGCTGCAGAGGTGTGCACTCACCTCTATAATCACTGAAGAACATTGTCACACACCCCCCCCAAAAAAGCAAGCCTGAACCCATAAGCACTCACTAGCCAGGCACCCACCAGTCTGCTTTTTTTCTATCCCTATGGCTCTGCCTTTTCTGGACATCTCATACAGTATGTGGTTCTTTAGCAGGGTCCTGTTTTAATCCTCAGAGAGGGGAAGTCACTTGCCCAGGGTCACACAGCGAGTGAAGGTGGGAGCCTGGCAGCCTCAGCCTGTGCCCAGCGTGTGCACTTAGCCACGGAGCTATGGGTCCTCTCTGAGCCACTGTGCAAACAAAGCGTGTTCCATGTTGGGCTTAGGGAGCGGAGGCATCAGCTGAGCTGAGAAATGAACCTTATGCAGCAAACCCCACCTCCCTGGCTCCTTGTGTTCAAGTCCAAGCTGCCAGAAGGGATGGTACCACCCAGGAGTTCATTTCTGGTTGGGCTCAATGCCTGGTTGTGACCCAAGGCTCCCAGACCCCTGGCTGGGTTGGCTCAATTCAGGTAGAGGTATCCGGTTGACGAGCCTGCATTTCTTCTGGAAAGAGCTCTCTGGCCTCTGAGGGTTTCAGGGGACTTACAAACCATGAGCGGGGATGGGACTGCTGGATCACCTGTGTGGCACGCCCCTATAGCCTCCACGGCCTCCCAGGTTCAACCAGGTCACACCCTGCTTGACTCACACCCAGTGCCTTCCTCTTGCTGGCCCCTGGGTTCCCTAGCTGACCAGGAACACAGCAGCCTGTTCTCTAATCTGCTGATGTGCTAAGTGAGGAGCTTGGCAGGGGCTCATTGCTTGTCCAAGCCATTTACTAGGTAGGCATGAAACTCTATCAGTTCTTCCGGGCTTCTGTAACGACGAAACTGCGAGCCTTAAAACAATAGAAAATTATTCCTTCCCAGTCCGGAGGCTGGAAGCCCATCGTCTCTGCCCGTCATCCCAGAGCGCCAACCCCTCGAGGGTCTGTGTCACCGGCCACGTGGGAGGCGGGGCCCACCCTACCCCACCAGGACCTCATCTTAACTAATTGACCTGCAAAGACGCTATGTCCAAATAAGGGCACACGCTGAGGTCCTGGGCATTAGGCTTTCCACCTATCTTTATGGGGGACACAACTCGGCCCGTAACAGGCACACACGGTGTGTGTGTGTGGAATACACAGCTATGTGGCTCCCGTCCTGGGCTTCTTTCTGTCCCCTGCCGGGAGTTCAGGGCAGAGCTCAGTAAATATTTGTGACTGATTTTGTGCGATTTATGGTTGACAGCTGGCCAATTTCTGCTTCGGCCTTCATGATCACTTCCTCTTCCAAACAAGGCCCTTCAAACACCAGGAGCAGAGCTGGGTCCCCTTTGCCTTGAGATTAAACAGAACGCAATATGGTTTTAGTGAGCTACTCCACCCAGCTCCAGGATGCCAGCGGCGCCTGCTCTGTGCACCTGCAGGGCCGCTTCCTGGTCGGGACCTCCCCGGGAGAGTGGCTGGGAGGATGGGTCTTCTCGATCTTTCTTGCCCCATGCCCTGCGCACGACCTAATCACTTCCCGAAGGTCCCACCTCCAGCTGCCAGCACACTGGGGAGTTCAAGGCCCAACACATGAATTTTGGAGGGATGCGAACGCTCGGTCCACGGCGGATGCCATCGGCCAGAGCAGGGCGGAGAAGGTATGAGGGGAGACTTGGAGCGGCCGTGGGGAGGGGGGGCACGGGAGTATTTTATTGAAATGTGAGATCCAGTGGCCATTCCCTTCTGTACTTTGATACTGTTGTAATTGGTAGAGGGCCAGAGGTCACACGTCAGGTTCTTCAGAACAGGGAAGGAACCTAGGAAAAGATCTTGAATCAGGTAAATCACCCTGTGGAGGAGGGACTTGGCCTTGAGAGGAGGAAGGAAAAACAGAAGGGAAGTTAGGCCAGCCTGATTCTAGGGCAGAGGGCTGGGAGTCGCTTGTGTCCCCACAAAAGTGCCTATGTGGAGGTCCTAACCCCCAGCACCCCAGAATATGACCTTATTTGGAGACAGGATCTTTAGGGATGCAATTATAGTAAAATGAGGGCGTTAAGTGGGGGCCAATCTTTGATGACTGGTGTCCTAACAGGAGGAGGAAGCTGGGGGAGACAAATTTCTTCCCGAAGGGGGCCCGGGAACTAAGCCCCCAACCCCCACCCTACCCCAGCCCCAGGAGAGCCTTCAGAGGGACCAGGACACCATCTGACAGCAACCTCACCGGACAAGGCAAGCAGAACCATCCAGCTACACCCCGCCCAAATCCCTGACCCACACAAACTATACAAGCTGATATATGACTGTACTAAATTTTGGAGTACTTTGGGGATAGCTCACACAGAACCTCCCTCCCGCCTCCCCTCCCCTTCCTTCCAGACCCTTCTGGTGCTTTCTCCAGCATCCCCCCTACCCTCAGGCCCAGACCTTGCTGATTCCATTGGGACTTCAGGAAGTAAAATGGGGTCAAAATGGCTCTGGGGAGATACAATATTACTGATAAGTGGAAACAAAGGTGCTCTACCTCAGAAGCATGCCCGGAAATGGGCATTCAGATAAGTCAGACACTTAGAGCGTGGGGCGCCTGGGTGGCTCAGTCGGTTAAGCGTCTGCCTTCGGCTCGGGTCATGATCCCCGGGTCCTGGGATTGAGCCCCGCATCGGGCTCCTTGCTCAGTGGGGAGCCTGCTTCTCCCTCGCTCTCTGCCTGCCGCTCTCCCTGCTTGTGCTCTCTCACTCTGACAAATAAAGTCTTTAAAAACAAAAAAAGGTTTTTTTAATATCCAAAAAGGAGTACTACACCAATAAAACATACTGGTATCTCCATAGTTCCAAATGCACTGAACACAGGATAACCCATATTGTGATACCCTGTTCCAACTCTTGTCCACATGGGGGTTTCTCAGAGTGGCTCTGGGTCCTGGGGGGCATAGGCAGTGCCAAAGGGTGAGGCCATCCGTCTGCAGGTGGCTGCTGACATGGCCGTGCTTCCTGGAGCCCCCTGAGGTCCGCCCGCCTCTTCTAGAACGTTGGACTCTGGGCATCTTTGCTGCTGCCGGCCGAGTGGTGTGGAGTCCTGCCTGAGTCCTGCCCCCCCCCCACGCCCACCCCCATTTACAGGCACCTCACCTCCCCACTGAGGGTACCTCCCCGAGATTCATCCTCTCAAATCCCGGGTTCCCTCCCTTTCATGATGAGGCCCATGAAACCCAAAGCCTGATATTTGGCTCTCCTTGACTTGAGGACAGGAACGGCTTCACCGAACCCTCCCAGGAGGCAAGGGCAAAACACTTGGACCCACGCTCCTGAAGCTACAGACAAAGAGAAGGCAAAATATACGTTTCCATCTTAAAGTAGCCCCAAAGTTCAGGATACGCCACCCACGTGCCTGTTCGGGTTCAGGTTCGGGTTCCCAAGACACTAAATAAACTTGCTGCAGGAGCTGCGGAGGTAAGTTCTGTATTAGGTCCACTTTGCAGTTGGCATGCTAAGGCCCAGAGAGGTTAAGTCACTTGTCTGAGGTGGCCCAGCTGGGAAGCATCGTGACCTGGAGGCAAACACAGGTGCTGCAGCTCCGGGGCACAGCCTGTTGGCCCCAGGGCGAGGGAGGGACACGCCACACACCGGGCTAGGGGCCAGTCTCTCTGGCCTGCCCAAGGTCAGCAGCGATGCCCACCCACTCGGGCAGGAAGGCCGCCTGGGGCTTGAAGATCCAGTGGAAGGGGGAGCCGGGGAGGGTGAAATTGGCCAGGTAGACGGTGTCCCCCCCAGCCAGGTAGGCGGCCCAGATCCCGAACGTCCCGATGGTCATGATGGTGTGGTTACACTGCGTGAGCAGCGCAAAGTCCCTGGCGGGGGAGCCCTGAAGGCCATTGCCCGCGAACACCACGTCCCCCCGGGAGGCGTTGATGTTCTGCCGACACCAGGCCATGTCGTCGCTGGTGATCACGAAGACTGGGGAGCGGTAGCGGGCCCGGAACCAGTCCAGGGCCCGGCGCAGGTAGCCCGGGTCGGCGACCACGCCCTTCCACACCCGCGGCATGACGCGCACGTAGTCCCCCCGGCGCACGTGGACCCCCACGAAGGTCGCCCGCCGGGCCCACTTGGCCTGCAGGTCCCGCAGAAACTTCTGGGCGCCCTCCCGCACGTGGTCGTGCAAGGTGAACTCCTGCAGGATCTCGTCTCGCAGGTGGTGGTAGAAGGTCCAGGAGCAGGGGTAGCCGGTGAGGCGCACGTACTCCCCCGGGATGCGGCGGTAGCGCTCCTCCATCCAGTCGTTCAGGTGGTAGTTCCGCCACGGGATCCTGCTGGCCGTGGTGCCGTGCAGGACTGGGAGGCTGATTCGGAAGATGGGGGCCAGCGTGCTGTGCATCGCGGCCGGGATGAAGGCCGGCCGCCCGTTCATCTTGGCCAGGGCGTACAGGGTGGCGTACTCCCCCATCTGGTTCCCCAGGCGGCCTTTGGCGTTGATGGTGAACATGCCCCCCATGGGCAGGTGTCTGGGGAGGAGGACCACGCGGCCTGAGTAGGCCCAGGGGGTGGGCACCAGGGCCAGGCGGTGATGGGAGTGGAAGATGGTGGACACCATCAAGAGGATGAAGAGGAAGTAGATGGTGGAAAAGGAAGGGCAAGTGGTCCGGAATCCCATGATGGCTGGGGGGGAGGAGAGAGGACACAGTCAGGAGCGACGGCTAGGGGCACCCGAGTCTTGTTCACCCCCAAATCATCCGTTCCTGCACTCAACTCCTCCAAGCAAGGCTAGGGGTGTCCAACGCGTCCTGACCCACTCTCTGCTCTCCCTTCTACCTGCGGTTTCCCTGCGGCTGCAGCTCAGGAGTCTCGTGGGCAGAAGGAAGCGCTGGGTGGCAGGACCCCCACTCCTCACACTCTGCCTTCTGTCCCACCCCCCGTCCAGGTGTCCCATCTCTCCTTCTGCCAGCCCCCTTAAATGGCAGGGTTCCCTGGACCTTGCCTCAGCTCTCCTCCTCCTCCAATATTCCAGGGCTCCTCCCTTTAGTAATCTGACCCTTTGGGAAATCTGAACACTCCTGGGCCCTCCTCAAATGTCTCTTGTTCAATGTGGGTACCCAGCGAGGTCGGCTGGCTCTTCCACAGGAGGGCTAAGTAGGACATCATCCTCCCTCCACTGGAGGGGGGGGGGTATAAGAAATGCCCTGCCCGCTGCTTTAGTTGCCAAAGAATGAGCCCCTCTTCTCCCTGGGCTGGTGACAGCTCTGTCCCAATCCTTACCACACTGCCGGTTCAGCTCAGGTCCTGCCTGGGGCCAGCTTGCGGGGCCGGCCAGGTCCCAAAGCCAGAGCAGGTGAGCTGAGCAGGGACTGGAGCCTGGACTACTGGGGACGACGCAGCCACTCGGGACAAAGGTACCCACCGCGCAGGGCCACCCCCATGGTGTGTGACCCGTGCGGTTGCCCACGGACCGCACTCTTAAGGACCTACGCTTCACTCAGCTGGCTCAGTCAGTAGAGCAGGCGGCTCTTCATCTCGGGGTTGTGAGTTTGAGCTGCATGTTGGGGGCAGAGTTTACTTTTAAAAACTAAAGGGGGGGGGCTGCACTTGATTTAATGCTCTGCTCTCACCGGCTAGAAATGATCAATACATCCGAATAAGGCACACCATGTTTTCATCTCGGGCTCTGCGAATCCGGCAGCCTGTCCTGAGGCCACCCTCTGTCCTTGAGTCTCAAGAGCTCCCTCTCCTGGCTTTTTGTCAGGAAAGTCTCAGAAAAATAGCGCATCAGGGCTGTGGCACTGGCCCCAGCACTTACTCGCCCCATCCGCGATTCCTTACCGGCCACCTTCCTAAAGAGTGGCGGCCAACCCCCATCTGAATTGAACTCGTTTGGGGACAAAATGTGGCCTGAATTGGCCTGCGGCTACTTGGAGACTTGACTTAATGTGATGCCCGTGTGTTCTGCTGGAGAAAAGATAATGTTCAATTATGGGATGCTGCCCAGACCCCGCACCCCGCCATGGGGCGGGCACACGTTCTGAACCACGTCTGGTCCAAAGAGGTTCAGGAGTGAGACTGTGGGCCTGTCTTCACTCATTTAGGCCTCATGCTCTCCTGTGAGGAAGGTGCATTGTTAGGCACATTTAACAGATGAGGCTGCTAAGGCCCAGAGAGGTTAAGAAACCTGCCTTAGGTCACACAGCTAGGAAAGAGGGAGCGTGTGGAGTTGAACCCCGGGCACTGTGGCTCAGCAATCTGTGCTCTCCATTGCTGTAATGGATTTTTCGAGGCTTCCTAAGGCAGAGCACTCAGATGCATACTCTCCGTCCAGTTATACGTGAGTACGACTTGCCCTGCCACGTGGGGCCTCTGTTATTTCTGGGCCACCGAGGTAGGGATGAAAGATCTCTGGAAGCCCAGAGCTGTGGGTCCCACCCTGCTGAGCCACCACAGAGCTGTGCCCCAGGGAGGTCCTGCCTCCCCTCTGGGGCACTGTGAGGGTGAAGGTGCCCAGTAATTGAGGAACTCCTCCAAAAAAAAAAAAAAAAAGTCTCCATCCCAACTTGGAGAATTCTTTCCTCTCAGCTCTGGCTGCTTCTGCCCTTCCCCCAACAACCCCCCGCCCCAAAGGCACCTTCAAGGGGTGCTAATCGCCTCAAGCAGCTCAGGCTGTGAAAAACAAAAGGGAGGAAGAAAGCTTTCCTCCAGGTCACATTAGCTTAAGAAACTTCTTGTCCCGGGGAGGAAAGGAAAATAAAGCAAGACCTAAACCTTCTCGAATTTTCTCTGGCCATTCCCTCTGCCCTGGTCGCTCCTGCCTTGATGATGCCCGAGTGGCTTGCCCTCACCACTTTCAGGTCTCAGACCAAATGTCCCCTCTAGACCCCCGCCCCTGCCCCCACTTCCCTGCTTGCTTTTGCTCTGAAGCCCCTCTCGCCTTCTGGCTCTTCTCTGGAACAGAATTACTTATTACTTTTCTGTAGCGATCTCTCCTCTAGATTGTAAACCTGACAAGGGTGTGGAGGCAGGGGGATCGTGGACGAGTTTACCCTGTCGCTCACACCGCCTGTCCCCGGAACCAGTATGCCCCCTCGGATTTGGGGGTGTCTCCGCTCCTAACCCCTTTCTCTTGCAGCCAACTCCTCCCCACAGCCTAATTTCAAATGCGATGTCCCTGTCCTGACTCTGGCCCAGGCTCGCCCCTCCACGGTGGCGCAGGGGGGTCCCCTGGAACCAGAATCACAGACTGTCCTGGCTGCGGCCTCCCGACCCCCAGGACAGGCTCCCACCAGCGGCGGGGGGGGGGAGCCATATCCCCGTCAGGTCCATGCAGCCCCACAATAAGCGCACGCAAAGCCCTGGGCTCCCGAGACCCTTGCTCTCCTCAGCGGGAAGGGGTAAAAGCGTTATTTTTCTAGTCAAAACCAGTGGGTTCATAATGGTTGACAGGCACATTGGCATGAAAATTTTGTCTCTGAAGTGTTGAGGCCTCGCAGGAAACTGGCCATGGGGACGCTGGCTTTGAGCTCTGTCCCTGTCCCCCTCGGGGTCCCTGCTCTCTCCCTCCAACGTGGGACAAGGCAGGCCCAGGGATTCTGCCTCTTCACTTCCTTCCCACCGTCTTAGAAAGCGGCCCGATTCTTTGGGGTTCCTGGTGGCCGCCCAGATCCTTCCAAAAGGCAAGTGACTCACCTTAATGCTCAGTTTACCCACAGCTGACAGAAGGGTCCAGAAGGGAGGAGATGCTGGCTGGGGGTCCCACCGCCTGGCAGGTCAGCCCCTTCCCTTCCCGATGGACCGCACCACCACGTGGTGGGCTGAGCCCGGCCGGCCTAACGCCTGCCTGCCTGCCTGCCTGTGGGGAGTCGGTGGGGCAGGGGTCTGAGTGTCAGTGCAGCGGGGACCCCAGACCCAGGAAGCCCATGGGGCCGCTGTCCCATCCTACCTGCCTTGAGCCTCCTGGGCCAGCATGCTCGGGGCTGCCCGGTTTCGGGCCCCCCTGGGGCGACATCCCTCACGTCCCACACAGTCCTGGGTGGCGTGGCTGGCTGGGGTCCCTGCGGGGAGAGCGTGGCTGTGGTTGGTGAGGGGACTGGGGCGGGGGTGGGGGTGGGGGGGAGCGGTGGTGGTGTTGGATTCTGCGGGCTCTGCTCTGAGCTCCCGCCCAGAACCCCCACTAGCCTGGGGCCTGACAACAGCCACTCAGCACTCACTTCTGAGAGCCCACGCCGCCGCCGCCAAGCTCCTGCGGGAGGGAAGAACACGTGAGGAGCTAACTGCAGGGGACACGCTCTTCTTGGGTGCAGGTTTGGCCAACATTAGGGGCAAAGGGTGGGGTGTGTGCAAAAAAGCCGGGGAAGAGGAGCCTGGGTCCCAGATGGACCCCCTCAGGGCCCAGGCATGGGGGCCTAACGATGGGTCTGGTGGGAGCTAGACTCTGCTCCTTAAAGGGGGGTGGGACTGGGCCCTGGCTCTCAGAGGGGTAGGGGCTAAGGGCTGGACATCTGGGTTCCCAGATGGGCAGGGGCCGGCTTCTGGACCCTCCAGGAACACCGGGGGACTCGCGGCCTGGCTGTCCAAGGTGCTAAGGGCCAGAAGATGGTACCCCGTGAACCACCCAGGCAAGAAAGGAGAGGTAGGAGATGGGGGCTCGGTCCTTAACGAGGCCGGCGCGAAGGGACAAAGCAAATGCCAGGGGCCGCAAGTGCACAAAATGGCGCTAGGCTCACTGGGAGGGGCGGAGGGTGATGCCCGAAATCCGGGGCCCGGGGAGGTTGTCTCTGCTCGTGGCAACCGCAGTGGGGACACTGCAGGCTGTGAAATCAGGCTGGGGGTGTTTGTGACCCCAGCTGCACCCCCAGATGCCTCACAGACTCCCAGCCAGGAGCAAGCCAGGCGCATGGACAGTGGGGCCCAGACAAGGCTCCAAGGCCCCCAAACCTGAGGAAGTTCCTCATTAGGGGCTGCCGGCCCTGGAAGGGGAAGATGGGGGGAGGAGGACTTTCAGCACTAAGTCCTTCCTAGCCTCTGCCATCCCGGGGGTCTGGACTTCAGGCCCCCCTCGCACGTCCTGGCATCTGGCCCTGCCCTGCCTCTCTTTCTGCCCCCACCCTCGCCGGCACCTGCCACCCCCCACATCTGCTCCCCTTTCTAATCTGGGGACCTTAGGGTGGGTAGAGAATGTGGGGGTTCCGCTCTCCCGACCCTGAGGCCTCGGATGGCAGGCGGGAGTGGGGAGGGCTGAGATTATCAGGAAGTCCTCCGAAATTTAAGGACAGGGTCCTCCCACCCTGAATTCTCAGGGGGACTCAGGCATCTGCTTTCCTAGCCCCCCTCTCCAGCTCCAGAGTGACCCAGGCTTCTAGTCCCCGCATGACCCCCTCCGGTTCCTTAGCACAGTTCTCTGGGCTTTGCACCCGGGCGGGAAAGGGTTAAGGCTGGGTGGAGGCTGGGGCTGGGTGGCAGCGGAGGGGGCTGCTGGGTTGTTTGGCGCTAATCCCCCTCCGTGCCCTGGGTGTGGAGAACAAGGTTAGGGCCCCACGTGGGAAAGGGCCTCTGCTCTGATCCTCGTGGGCCAGGGGCCGGGCCTCCCGCTTCTGATGCCCCGCAAGCCCCTCCCCTGCTTCCCCTCCCCGCCTCCCCACCGGCCAGGCTGGCGAGGCCCTCTGTTCTCCTCTTGCTCCCTGGGGGTGTCTCTGAGCCCCCAGGTCTGTCTTGCCTGCCTGTCTGTCTGTCCTGGCCCCAGGCTCCCTGGGACTCCATTCCCGCCCCACCCCCAACTCCCTGTGGCTCTGGGTGTCCAGCCGCGATCTGTCTGGGCCTTCCGGCCTCCCCTTAGGTTCGGTCCTCTCTCCTCACGGTTCCTTCTCTGCACCTGGCCCTTCCCTTCCGACTTGGGCCGCCTCCTCTCTGTCCGTCTCTGCTGTCCGTGCCGCGGTCCCTTTCTCTATTTATTTGTCTCTGCTCTTCTTCATCGGTCTCTAGGTCCCCCTCCCCGCTGTGGTCTGTCTAGGTTTCTCCATCTGTCCCCACCCCTTGCCCTCTCCCCAGGGCCCCCACCCCTCGACACTGACGATAGCTCTGGGGTGTTAAGCTACAGATTAGTTCAGGCAAAATTCTCAATTTTGCTTGCGTTCTTTTCCCTTTGGGTTATGTAAACAGTAATTCTCCCCAGATGGAACTATTTTCCTCGCTTAGAAGCAGCCGGGGAGGGGGGCTTGGGCAGGGCTGGGGGTGGAATGCCGGGGGTTCCTCAGAGAGCCTGGGGGCGGGGAGCGGGGTGGAGGCTGACCCATGAGGGCAGCCTGAGGCCCTCAGCCTGATCACTCCTCTCCTCTCCAGGTACTTGCTCTGCTAGGACCATGCCCGTGACCTTTGCCCTCTTGCTCCTCCTGAGCCAGGCCACCACCGCAGACCCATGTTACCATCCAGGTGGCCGCCCCCGCTTCTGCCTCCCACCAGTGACCCGGCTGGCTGGCATAGCGGCCTCCTGTCCCCAGGCCTGTGCCCTCTCCCTGGGGGCAGACCTTAGCCCCCGGGCCACCTGCAATGGCAGTCTAACCCTGGCCCTGGGTGGCCCCTTCCTCCTGACGTCTGTCAGCCTGCGCTTCTGCACCCCAGGATCCCCAGCCCTGGTCCTGTCTGCCGCCTGGGCCACCGGAGGTCCCTGGAGATCGCTGTGGCGCAGACCCGCCTGGCCTGGGGCCTTGGGGGGCCCCGAGAAGGTGACCTTCCGAGCCCCACCGGGCCCTAAATCCAGCGTGGTGGTCAGTCACCTCCGCATGGAGTTCGGGGGCCGGGCAGGGCTGGCAGCGGCTGGAGTGAGGGGCCGCTGCCAATGCCACGGCCACGCAGCCCGCTGTGCCGCCCGCGCCCGGCCCCCCCGCTGTCGCTGCCGCCACCACACCACCGGCCCTGGGTGCGAGAGCTGCCGCCCATCCCATCGAGACTGGCCCTGGCGGCCTGCCACGCCCTGGCACCCCCACCCTTGCCTGCGTGAGTCCTGGGCCCCCCCCTCCCGCTCTCACCCACCCCTAGCCCGGCCCCCCGCCCGACTCTCCAGCAGATTGGTCCCTGGTCCCCACAGGCACTGTGCTCTCTCCCTCCCTAGGGCGCCTTGCTCCTCGCTTCACCCCCACTGCTCCTGAGCTGGTTCCTCTCTTCCCCTCCCCCACAGCCTCCCACCTGTGCTCCACCTGCCTGCCCCAGTCCCTGCCGCCTCCCCCCACACACCCAGTGTCTGCCCCACACGCCATCAGATGCTGCTGCGAATAACATTTCCTGCATGAGCGTGGGAAGCAAGGCAGCAGGACCTCCCAACGCATCAGACCCACCACACGGGGGATGTATTTACTCATTAAGTACCTACGTACCGATCACCTATGTACCAGGCGGGTTTTATCATCAGGTCCGTTTCATAGACGAGGAGATGAGCCTAGAGGTGAGAAGTCCCTTGCACAAGGACACACAGCTAGTGAGTGGCAGGGTCCGAATCTGAGCTCAGGGAGTCCAGTGGGGGGGGGGGTCTTGGCTTGTCCCTGCCAAACTCCTGTCAGGGGCCGTCACACTAGGTACTCTAGGGTGACAGATAGGCACACAGGCTCGGCAGCGAGCCAGCCAGCCAGCCAGCCTGGGCTCAAATCCCAGCTCCTCTGCTTCCCAGCTGTGTGACCACAGGCAAGTGACTTGACCTCTCTGTGCCTCCACCTCCTCGCCTGTAAAGTGGGGACAGTAACAGCATTTCTTTCACAGGCTGTAGTGAACATCCAGTGGGTCGATATGCATCCTTAGAATAAAGCTTAGTGTGGTACCTGGCACCGAAGAAGAGCTTGCTTCGCATCTACCAATGTTACCATTCCCCAGATGAAGAAGGGGGGGGCCCCCTCGAGGGGATGCACCACTTGCCTTAAGGCTCAACGCCAGCAAGGGGCGGTGCTGGGACTGGACTCAGGAGGCAGACCTTCCTAGATAATGGGCGATCCACGGGGCCATGCAGCTAGACCAGCGCTCCCCAGGCCCAGTCCACACCCTCTCCCCTCCCCCGTGTTTCCAGACCTGGAGCTTCCAGAGCCCGGGCCCTTCTCCATTGCTCCAGCAGCCCCTCCTCAGAGACAGCCCTCCTTCCACGCCAGCCTGCAGGCCTGGCTAGAGGGTCTGAGTGTGGTACCAGGCCCTGGGAAGTACCTCTATTCTACCAACAGATAGACACACACACACACCCCCCCCTCCTCTCTCTCCACCCTCCAGTTCTTTACCCACTCCCTCCTCTCTTCCTTTCTGCCCTGCCCCGTGGAGGAACTTACAGCCCGCCCCACCACCCTTGGCTCCCCACTCTGTCCTCATCCCCCCTGGGGTCTTCCTAGACCCTCCACCCCCACCACCTCTGGTCCATTCCCACCAGCCAGACCCGAGGCCCCTGCAGGATGCGGACGGGGAGGAGGGGAGACTCACATTGCCTCGGGGTGGGATTTGGTTCATCCTGGGCCTGGACGCCGCCTGGGAGCTGGGAAGGTCGTCCCTCTGAGGATCACCACATTGCCCCAAGCTGAGCATGGCACTGGCCTCTGAACCTGGGTAAGAAGCCGACGATGTTGTGATAAAGCAGGGTCTCGGACAGCGTGGGACCGCGTCCTGTGGCAGAGCTGCCGGCTTTATAGGCACGGTGCTCTGAACCCCTTTCCGCCACCTGAGTCTTCCAGACGGAAGTGAGGTGAAGTGATCACCCTCAGGTCAGAAAGAATCCAAAGCCTGATTCTTCCCACCAATAACCTGAAGAGTACTGCTACCTCTTAAGGCCCCTGACAACCCTGGGAGAGAGGGGCTGAGATCCCCACTGCACAGGAGGAAACCAAGGTTTAGGGAGGCGAGTCGTTCTTCCAAGAACACACAGCTGCTTCGGCGTCCTGACTTCCCACTGCTGCCCCTCTGTGTTCTCGGCACCTGCCAGCCGAGGCCTCCCGAACCCCTCGGGAGTCAGAAACTCCTTAAACCTCTCCCAAGAATGGTCCATGAACCCCCTCCCGCGGCATCTCACTCAGAAACGCTGGCTAGAAACACAGATCCCTGGGCCCAGCAGAAGGCCTGGGGGTGGGCCCTGGAAGCTGTGTGGTTTCTTCTTTAACGTTTCTCAGTAACTGAGAAGTAGTTAAGGTTCAGGAGCCACAGCCTCACCGATCAGCGCTCTGCAGGAACACACGCGTGCATGTAAACCGCCCAGGATCCTCACGCCAGTCGTGGGCCACGCTGCAGCCTGGTTGCCAAGAGCACAGACTCTGAAGCCAGAAGCCCTGGGTGCTGAGCCTACCTGGGACTGCCCCTGGGCTGTGTTACTTTGGGCAAATGACTTGGCCTCTCTGCGCCCCCGTTTTCGCATTGGCAAGATGCAAGCCTCACGGAGCCGCTCTGAGAACGAAGCACACTGAGCCCCAAATGCCTGCTCTGTGTCACGGGCCCTGGGTCGAGCCCTTTATATCCTTTTGGTTTCCTTTCAACCTCACGGAGTGGACACTGTGACTGCCATCTTACAGAGGAGGAGACCGAGCTACAGAAAGAAGTCACTTGCCCAAGGAGCACAGTGGGGAGTGGACATGTGGGGGCAGGGTTGACCCCACAGCCTGCGCCTCTGGAGTGGCCACTCCTCCCTGAGCCCCCAGTTTCACACAGACGTTCAGGTCCATCAGGCCCCTCAGGCTCGCCCACTCCAGTCCGGTGCACCCACCTTAAAGATGAGAATGAGCAGGGTCTGGGACCTCTGGGGGGGGGGCAGTGGGGGGGAAAGCTGGGGACCGGGAAGGGAAGGCGGGAGCCTGATGCGCCTGCCCCGTCCTGTCTCTAGCCTGCTCCTGCAACCAGCACGCCCGACGCTGCAGGTTCAACTCGGAGCTCTTCCGGCTGTCCGGCGGCCGGAGCGGGGGTGTCTGTGAGCGGTGCCGCCACCACACGGCCGGGCGACACTGTCACTACTGCCAGCCGGGGTTCTGGAGGGACCCCAGCCAGCCTGTCACCAGCCGCAAGGCCTGCAGGGGTGAGTGTGGCCCGAAGCCTGGCCCAGAGGGAAAGGATGCAGGGCCCGACTCCTGGGGCTGGCGGGCGGGGGGGCGGGGACTGGGAAGGAACCTCTGGGGCCCTGACACCCCAGGTCCCCAGCTCCTCTCCTCATGTAGCCTGCCAGTGTCACCCGATCGGGGCCACGGGGGGCGTCTGCAACCAAACCAGTGGGCAGTGCCCCTGCAAGTTAGGGGTCACCGGCCTCACGTGCAACCGCTGTGGTCCCGGCTACCAGCAGAGCCGCTCTCCCCAGATGCCCTGCCAGCGTGAGTGACAAGGGGCGGGGCTGCAAGTCCTAAGTGGGGTGGGAAGGGGACATCCCAGCTCTCCAGTGGGCAAGGATGCTGACGGCCGGGTCCCTGGGAGATGGGAGCTAGAGGCTGGAGGTCCGACTCTGGGCCTCTGGGGGAGGTGGGGACTCAAATTCCAGTCTCCTTGGTCTTGGGAAGGAGGAGGCTAGGAGCCTGGACTCCTGAGTCTGAGGGAGGAGGGGGCTGGGGGGGGGTCTACATTCCTGGATCTGAAGGAAGAAGGGACTAGGGACCAACTCCAGGTCCTGGGAGGAGGAGGGCAAAGGGCGCTCGCACTCTTGGGCCATAAGGGAATAGACATGGGGTCTGGATGCCTGGATTCCTGTTGGGGTGGCGGCTGCGGGGGAGGGGGCACTAAGGTGAAAGTTTTCCTTTGGTCTCTCTCAGGAATTCCAGAGGCAACAACCCCCCTTGCTACTACCCCTGGTGCTTACAGCTCTGGTAAGACAGGCTGGTGTGGAGAATACTGACAGCAAGAGGGATCAGGGATGGGTTGCTTGGGTCCCCAAGTGGGGATCCAGGGGTGGCCCAATGAGCCAAGTCCCAAGGGGTGGGGTACCCCAGTTGTCCATCATAATGGAATGGGGGGATGGGCAGGGTCGGACGCTGTGGTCCAGGCCTCCAGAACCCATTGCAGACGACCTAACCCTCCCCAGACCCTCAATGTCAAAACTACTGCAATGTCTCGGACACCAGGGTACACATGAGCCTTCGGAGGTACTGCCAGCAGGACTACGGTGAGTGCTGGGGAGAAAAATGGCCGGCAGCTACTCAGGGGTTCTGATGACTTGCTCAGCCCTTCTCCACCTTCAGCTCTCTCATCTTAAATGGGAAGGGGCACTCTAAAGGACCCTTCCTGATCTAGGACCTAATGGGACAGAACACAAAGGGGGGCAGGGGCAGTGGAGTGGGGGTGTTCCCTATCTTCCTATGTCTCCTCTTTCCCCATGTTCTTGGCCTCCTTCAGCCGGACATCTTTGAGGGAGAAAGGGGACCTCCTGGGGTTGGAAGGACAAAGGGGTGCTGGTTGAATGGAGGGTCCTGCCTATCTTAGACACTTTCCGCCTCCCATCAGGGTCCCAAATCCTGAACCGTAGCCCCACTCCCCCAGAGGCTCGCCCCCAAAGTCCCCTAATTCATCAGGTCACACCAGTCCACACCAGCCCCATGACCTCAGGGCCTATGCCCTCAGGTACCTCAGATCTCTTAGATACTCCGGAGTGCAGCCCAGCCCTTGAATCCAGACCAGCCTGTGACTTCCCTCAATGGCATAAGACCCCAGGCCTCTCCTCTCTGAGAATCATCATCTGGCCACTGGTCTAGGACTTGGAAGATGGAATCTTCTCCTCCTGCCTCCCACAGGGATCTTCTGCCCCCTAGACTTAGCTTGTAAGCCAGAGTCCTGCCCCCAACACGTCTCACCTCAGCCCTTCAGAGAGCACATGTTTTTGAATCACCACCAGTATGACCTCAACCCTCAGGTTCTAGGTTCTGACCTCCTTCTGGCCCCCAGATTTGTCCCAGAGCCCCTCCCTGAGCAATACCCTTTTCCAGGGGCTCTGCTTCTGACATCTTTTGACTCTGCCACATTCAAGACCCTGGACCTGCCTCGTCTGCCTTGTTCCCAGCCACACACACTGTAGAGTCCCCCTAGTCAACCCTCCCCACACTTTAGGTCATTCTGGCATCTGCTGTTCCCAGTATAAACCCCAACCAAAGTGTCCCACAAGGCGTGTGCCATGTTCCCAGGCTCCTCTCTCTGTTTGGCCTCCCCCCCACAGGAGGAGCCCTCCATCGCCCCACCCTTCCTAATCACAATCCTGGCACCCCACCTCACACTCCACAAGCCCTGCCCTCCTCGACTCGACCAAGTCTCCTCCAGAAGGCTCCAGCATTCACGACACAGGGCCAGACCCCCAGCCCTCTCACCCTCAAACGTTTAAGGTCTCTCTCCTTCCTGAAGGGTATCCTGGGAGCCCACCCCCGGGTCTTGCCCCCCCCCCCCCCCCCCCCCGGGACTGACCCCGCGTGACCCCAGAGGCTCCCGCAGCCCGGGCCTGACGGCAACGCTCCCCGCAGTTCTCCGCGCGCAGGTGCTGGCGTCGCAGGCGGCGGGCCCGGCGTGGCAGCGGCTGGCTGTGCGCGTGCTGGCCGTGTACAAGCAGCGGGCGCGGCCGGTGCACCGCGGCGGCCAGGACGCCTGGGTGCCCCGCGCCGACCTGGCCTGCGGCTGCTTGCGCCTGCAGCCCGACACCGACTACCTGCTGCTGGGCAGCGCGGCCGGCCGCCCCGACCCCGCGCGCCTAGTCCTCGACCGCCACGGCCTCGCGCTGCCCTGGAGGCCACGCTGGGCCCGGCCTCTGCGGCGGCTGCAGCTGGAGGAGCGCGCCGGGGGCTGCCGCGGCCTGCAGCCCCCCACCCCAAATCCAGGGCCGGAGCACCAGGGCCGCAGCTGGGCGCCTCCACTGCCGACGGAGGAACTTGGAAGCGACCGTGAGGTGAGCCTTCCACTTCGACGGCGCGTCCCTTAGCGAGCCAATCAGACGCCGTGGAGCCCCTGACGTCACTGGCACGCGCCGGCACCGTGCAGGCCGAGGGACAACCCCCTCGTCCCCCCAAGGCGGCACAACGCCAGCAAGACTTTTGGTGTCGGGCAGGGACTTTTGGCCTGTGATCTGGGCGGCTAGTACCCTAATAAAGTCTTAAATCTTGGGGGGAATTTCGGCTACAGCACCTGATATGTGCTGGGAGGGTCTCGCAGAGGCCGATGAAGTAAACCCACGCGCGCGAAGGACCGCTATGCTCCCGGACAAAACGCCTCATCCAATCAAAGAGCTGGTATGACATCACTGCGTGCTAGTGAGATTTGTGTTGCCTGACGATTGGCCAGAAGCCAGTGGGAGGGAGGGTGGAGAGAAAAGGCGGGAAATGAGCCGAAGGAAAGGACAGCGGGGCCGGATTTCCAGAAAGTTCCACACTTAGGCACTTTGTGTTCCTGATGGGCCCTAGGATAGTCTCTGAGAAAGGAATGAAAGGACTTGGAGTGAATATCCAAAGAGGGTTCTGACCGAGGTTCATCTGGTCTTGGAAGTGCAGCCTAAACGCTTTCCTGAGAGAATAGCCAATTGGGAGCCACAGAGTGGTACGGCATCACTTGGTGCTGAGCAGAATTTTACTCCCACCTAACAGCTGGGTACCCACAGGCCAGAGGAGTGGAGCTAAAAAAAAAAAAAGCAGTAAGTACTATGGCATGGAAGGTTGTCATGGCCTAGGACCTTCCTTGCCACCCTGACCTCTGCCCCCTGCAGCCACAATGGACAACACCATTTCAAATTTGGGTGATCTTTGCAGGAGAGTCCCCGAGGGAGTACTTTGAGGGATTCTCAGAGGAAGGGATATGACTTAGGGTCCATTTGGGCCTAGAGACAACCTGTTCCTTCCCCAAGAGGAAAGTGGACCTCTCCGCCAATGGAGGGTCAGGGTGGGCCATGATGTCATAGGGTACTAGAAAGAGAGAACAGGCCCGCCAGTCAAGGTTCTGCTATGCAACTTATGAGACCGAAAAAGGCAGGAAATAGCTTCCAGGAAGTGACTGTTTAATCCCCAAGCCACCAATAATATCCTAAATCTGGGAAACTTGTCTTTGGCTTCAGCTGGGTCCAGGGTGGGGGCATCTCTGAAGCAGCAGTTAGGAGTCTTTAAGGGATTTCCTTCTTCTTTTCTTTTCTTTCTTTTTTTTTTAGAGATTTTATTTACTTATTTTAGACAGCGAGAGAGAGTATGGGGGGAGGGACTGAGGGGGAAGGAGAAGGAGAGAATTTCAAGCAGACTCACACTGAGTGTGGAGCCTGAGGCGGGGCTCGATCTCATGACCCTGGGATCATGACCTGAGCTGAAACCAAGAGCTGGATGCTCAACCAACTGAGCCACCCAGGCGCCCCTCTTTAAGGGATTTTCTAAGAAGCATTCTCTGTTCCAGCAAAACTATATTCCTTGTCTTTTTCCGTTCTCTCTTGAAGCCAATTTAGTGGGGCATTTGCCCCCTGCCCCCTCCCCACCCCCCGCGTGTCCTGTCCATCAGCAAATCCTTTCTTTCAGAATAAAATCCAAAGCCCTTTCCCTGCCCTACAGGGCCCTACATGATCTACTCCCACCATATAACTGACCTTACCTCCTACAACCCCCGCTCATTCGCACCTCTTCAGCCACACTGACCTCCTTCCAGTTCCTTTAAAATTCAAGCTCACTTGCCCCAGGGCCTTTGCCCTTGCTGTTCTCTCTTCCTGGGATGCATTTCCTCATATAACAGCAAGCTAGTGCCTGCACTTCATTGAGACCTTCCATTAATCAGGTTCAGCTAGCTCTGTTGGAATGATACAATGGAGATTGATTTCTTGGTCGTGTATGTGTCCCAGACAAGTCACTAGGGAATGGTTCTCCACAGAGTCATTCAAGGCTGAGAGACATCTACCATCTTATCACTGCACCAAATGCAACCCATGGCATCTTGATCACTGCAGCAGGGAGAGAGAGAACTGAATGGTCCCACACAAGAAATAAATGCTTTGGCTCAAGAATGACTTCAGCACTTCCATTCCTAGCTCACTGCTCAGGAATACTCACATGGTTTCACCAAATAGCATGAAGGTGGGGAAGTAGAATTCTCTTATGTGCCTGGAAAGAGAGAAGAACCAGTGTATTAGTTTTCTATTGCTGCCATAACAAATTACCACAGACTCAGCAAGTGAAACAATATAAATTTATTATCCTGCAGGGTTTTTTTTTTTTTTCGGTTCCTTGGTTGCATTAGCCACAGTTCAAGTGGCTGGTGGCTAGCACAGTGGACAGAGCAGATACAGAACATTTTTCCACCATCACGGAAAGTTCTATTGGACGGCGCCGCTCGACAGACCATTTTCATGAAGGGCATAAACTCCGAAGCCAGGTTGCCTGGGTTCGAATCTCTCCATGTCCCTCAGTTCTCTCATCTGTAAAATTGGGATGATTATGATGATAGGAAGTAACTCACGGGGCCTATTATTATTATTATTATTTTGAGATTTTATTTTATTTTTTTAAAGATTTTATTTATTGGGCGCCTGGGTGGCTCAGTTGGTTAAGCAACTGCCTTCGGCTCAGGTCATGATCCTGGAGTCCCTGGATCGAGTCCCGCGTCGGGCTCCCTGCTCGGCAGGGAGTCTGCTTCTCCCTCTGACCCGCCCCCCCTTCATGTGCTTTCTGTCTCTCTCATTCTCTCTCTCTCAAATAAATAAGTAAAATCCTTTAAAAAAAGATTTTATTTATTTATTTGACAGAGAGAAACACAGTGAGAGAGGGAACACAAGCCGGGGGAGTGGGAGCAGGAGAGGGAGAAGCAGGCTTCCCGTGGAGCAGGGAGCCCTATGCGGGGCTTGATCCCAGGACCCTGAGATCATGACCTGAGCGGAAGGCAGATGCTTAATGACTGAGCCACCCAGGCACCCCTTATTTTGAGATTTTATTTTTAAGCAATCTCTACACCCACTGTGGGACTCGAACCCACAACCCCGAGACCCAAGAGTAGCACTTTCCACTCACTGGGCCAGGCAGGCAGGCGCCTCAGGGCATGTTATGAGGATTGAAAGAGTTACTTTGTGGTTTAACGGGCTTAGAACAGAGCCTGGCACAGAGGAAGAGCCATTTGAGTTTGTTATTATTCAAGTGTCCGGTGGCCACATCTCCCCCAGGAGAGCAGAGCCCAGAAGGCAAGAATACTGATCTGCACAATTTGCTGGCTTCCCTGAGGGAGTGGTGAGGAGGTGGAGAGGGGCTGTGGGAGCCACCAAGGCCTGGAGAGCCCTGGCCTTCTTGCCTCCCACCCAGGGGCCAGGGAGGTAGGAGATGAAAGTGAGGAGCAGGGCGAGCCCCATATGTTCCCCATGACCCAAACTTTGTTCCCAGCAACCGAGACAAATAGGCATGAAATCCACATCTGGGACCCACCTCCGGCCTGGCCTTTCCCTCTGCCTCCGGGCATCGAGCCCAGTCTGTGTGCTCTGATGGGGGCTCAGGGTCAGGTGGCTTCCAGAGCTCCGAGGAGGCTCCTGCCCACCTCACCACTGCTGATGGCTTTCTGGAAAAGCAGACTCCCGAAGTACATAAGAGCCTGCGTAAGAATTTGCCCAGCAGAGAAGAGGGAAAAGAGAACCCCAGTTAGAGGCAACAGTTTGTGCAAAGGTCTGGAAGCTCAAGGGCCTGGTATGGTAGGAGAAGAGAGATGGGGCTGGGGATTGGTGGTAGCCAAGGCTTGTGAGGCCTCTAAGGCCAGGCGGAAGGCGTGTGTGTTTCTTCTGGGCGGGGGCACTGGGGAGCCATGGGAGGTCTCAGCACCGGAGGGAGAGGGTCAGTCCTCTGTGAGAAAAAAATCAGTGATATGGTAGCGCCTGGCTGGCTAAGTCCGAAGAGCATGCAACTCTTGATCTCAGGGTTGTGAGTTCGAATACCACATGGCGTGCAGAGATTACCTAAATAAATAAAACACTTAAAAAAAATAAAAACAGGGGCGCCTGGGTGGCTCAGTCGTTAAGCGTCTGCCTTCGGCTCAGGTCATGATCCTGGGGTCCTGGGATCAGACCCCACATCGGGCTCCCTGCTCCGCGGGAAGCCTGCTTCTCCCTCTCCCTCTCCCCCTGTTTGTGTTCTCTTTCTCGCTGTGTCTCTCTCTGTCAAATAAATAAATAAAATCTTTAAAAAATAAAAATAAAAACAAAACTCGCACAGCGTTATGGTCAATCACTGAGGTGTCTCAGTTCACTGGGAGAGCCCCGAGAGGGCTGTGAACCTAGCCTGGAGATCAGGAAATGTCTCTTAGAGAGACTGTTATTTGAGGTAGGTCTTGAAGGACAGATGAAGGATTTGGTCGCCAAGAGAGAGGCTGAGGGGCCAGCGCGTCCAGGGGAGCTGGGCCTCAGTGGGACCGCTGTGGCTAAAGCAGAGGCAAGGTGAACTCTGGGATCTATGAGGGGTACACTGGAGAGGGAGGAGAGTCTGTGAGGGGAAGGCCGGGGGGAAAGAATGAGTTTTGAGCTGGGACCCCAGTTATGCGGACAGAAAAAGAGTTAGGAATATGTCACCTCCCCCCAGAAAGCCTTCTTCTTAACCCCCGTGCAAAGTTTTTTTTTTCTCACCCATTTCTGAATGCCCCCTTCACTCACTTATTTGTTTATTCAACATATACTCCTGGGGCGCCTGGGTGTCTCAGTCGGTTAAGGGTCTGACTCCTGAGCTCAGCGCAGGTGTTGATCCTCAGGTTCATGAGTTTGAGCTTCACGCTGGGCTCCACGATGGGTGTGGAGCCTACTTAAAAAAACAAAACAAAACAAAAGAAAGCAAATGCAAAAAACATATTCTCCTGAGGTCTCCCTGGGAAATGCTGGGATGGAGACCTGAGTCAGACCCAGTACTTGCCCTGCAGGGGCTCCCCGTCTGGGAGGCTGTGCTAGGGGACAGACCTACACACAGTCACATCTGGTGCGATGTGTAATAATGGAGGCAGCAGGGGGCCTTGTCTGTTAGATCAGAGAAGACTTCCTGGAGGCGAGGCCCTCACTGGGCCTTGCAGGAAATCCAGTTGTCTCCCAGCAGACAGGAGGGGGCCAGAGTCTCTGGGGAGACACATCGGGAGCATCATCTTATTTGATCCTGTTTGATTTCTCTCCTGAAGATCCCCATGTACCCTCTGGGGGGCGATGCCAGGGACCCAGAGATGGATCAGGCCTGGGCCCTTGAGGGAGGACACAGAGGACACAGAGTGCCTCCCCTAATGGGGTCTGTGTGCTAATGGAGGTAGCACAGGGCATTAGGAATGTGCACAGCAGGCTCTGACCCAGCTTGGGGTGGGGTGGGGGGAGTCAGGGAGGGCTTCCTGGAGGAGGAGAGCCAACTTGTAGGTAGAACCTGCTCTTCCTGCACTGTCAGTCTTGTCTGTCTCTCCCTCCATGTATCTCTGGCTCCTTCATTGTCTCTGTCTGAAAAGTTCCACGCCTTTCTCATTATTTCTCCCCACCCCTGGGGTCGGCTGCTGTAAACAATGACCACAAACTGCGCAGCTTAAAACAATGGCAATTTATTCTCTCACAGTCCTGGAGGCCGGAAGTCCCAAATCAAGGTGTCAGCAGGGCCACAGTCCCTCTGAAGGCTGCAGGAGAGGATCCTTCCTTGCATCTCGCAGCTTCTGGTGGCTCCTGGCGTTCCCCAGCTTGTGGCAGGACGACACCAACCCCGGCATCTGTCTTCACATTGTCCTCTCGAATCTCCCTCTGCCTTTCTCTTATAAGGACACTTGTCATTGTGATTTAGGATGATAACTTAGTTACATCTGCAAAGACCTTTTTGCCAAATTAGGTCCCACTCTGGGTGCATTAGGTTCTGGGTGCAGTTTTTGGTGTGTGTGTTGGGGGGCACCATTCAACCTGCGCCATCTTGGGAGAGTCACTTCCCTCTCTGACCAGCCTCAGTGTTCTATCTGTATAATGGGGCTAATCCTAACCCCACCACCTCCTGGGGCCGCTTTGAGCGCATGGCATGGCCCAGCGTCTAGGAAATTCCGGCCAAGATGGCTGCCATTTCTTCCTGATTTATTTCTCCATCAGAGCTGCCCCCCCCCCGCCACTCTTCCTGACACATTCCCCACTTCTCTGCACAGACGCCTCCATCGTGTTTTCTTCGTCCCTCTTTGCTCTGTTTTCCTCCCCTGCTCCGCCACTTCCTACCTGTGTAACTCTAGGCAAGTCACCTGCGCCCTCTGACACTTGGTTTCCCCATCTGTAAAATGGGATAACAGCCTCTCCTTCGGCGGGCGGCTGTGAGGATGACATGCATGAGTTCACAGAAGGTGCTCAGAACTTTGCCTGGGTACTTTATTTTTTTAAAAAAATTTTATTTATTTATTTGAGAGAGAGAGAGAGAGAGCGCACAAGAGGGGTGGAGGGTCAGAGGGAGAAGCAGACTCCCCGCTGAGCAGGGAGCCCGATGTGGGACTCGATCCCGGGACTCCAGGATCATGACCTGAGCCGAAGGCAGTCGCTTAACCGACTGAGCCACCCAGGCGCCCTGCCTGGGTACTTTATGTATTACTGTAATTTATGACGACGACAACGATGATGATGTTATTGCTGTTGTTTTCTTTGTTTTGCCTCTTTTCCCTGTCTCCATGGTTCCCTCCCTCTCCAAGCTTCTCTCTCCATATGTTACTGCGTTTCTGAGTAAGTCGCACTGACCTGTAAGCCTCAGGGGTCTGTAAGGGTCCGTTTCTCCCCATTGTTCTGTCCCCCTCTTCTCCCCCAACAATGATGTTTTTTTTTTAAAGTAAAATCTTGATTTTTTTTTTTCAGATTTATTTACTTACTTGAGAGAGAGCGTGAGAGCGCACAGGAGGGGGTGTGTGGGTGGGGGGAGAGGGAGAGAAAAAATCCCAAGCAGACTTTCCACCAAGCGTGGAGCCTGACAGGGGGCTTGATCCCACGACCCTGAGATCATGACCTGAGCCAAAACCAAGAGTTGGATGCTCGACTGACTGAGCCACCCAGGGGCCCCCCAACCTGTGATGGTTTTAAAACAAGCCTATAGGGGGCGCCTGGGTGGCTCAGTCAGTTAAGCATCTGCCTTCAGCTCCAGGTCATGATCCCAGGGTCCTGCTCCAGGCTCCCTGCTCAGCGGGGAGCCTGCTTCTCCCTCTCCCACTCCCCCTGCTTGTGTTCCCTCTCTCTCTCAAATAAATAAATAAAATCTTAAAAAAACATTAAAAATAATAAAAAATAAAACAAGACTATAAATTCTTTGCTACTCTTCAAAAGGAGGAGCCTAATCTCTTTCCCTTTGAGTGTGGGCCAGACGTAGTGACTCACTTCTGATGAACAGAATAGAACAGAAGTGATGGTGTGTGACATTGGAGATTAGGTCCTATAAGATATCTCTCTCTCTCCCTCTCTAATCAGTCGCTCGGGGGAAGCCAGCAGCCATGTTATGAGGTCAAGGCAGCACCCCTATAGCCCTCAAGAGAGGCACAGTGATGAGGAGCTTGGATGAGCTCCTCAGCCCCAGTCGAGCCTCCGGGTGACTGCACCCTGGCCAAGGGCCTAACTGGACCCTCACCAGAGGCCCCGAGCTGAACCCCCCAGCTAAGCCGCACCCAAACTCCAAACCCTCAGATACGGTGAGACAATAAATGCTTGTTGCTCAGAGCCACTGAGTTTTGGGGTAATTTGTTATGTGGCCATGGATAAACAATACATACCTTCTTTCTTGCGTTTTCTCTCTCTCCATTTCTGACTCTCTTTGGCTTTCTCTGTCCCCTCCATCTCTAGGGCCTTTGAATGCCCATTCTCAATTCTCTTTCTGAATGCCTGTCTTTTTGACTCTACGCTCTCCCTTGATGTCACTTGGTCTGTTTCTGGGTCTCTCTCCCTCTCTCTGGCTCTCTGCGTCTCTGCCATCTCTTTCTCTCTGGTGATCTCTCTTTCTCTGCATGAGGGTCTCTAGTGTGTGTGTGTGTGTGTGTGTGTGTGTCTGCCTGCCTCTTTCTCTGTGTTTCTACGGCTCTCTCTTTGGGGTTGGCTGTCTCTCTGGCTTTGGATCTCTTCTCGGTTTCTGTCTCCCCACCGCCACCCCCCTGGCCTGGCAGCTTGTTCTCGCGTCTCTGACCGGCGGGGTGGGTGTCTCTGCTCCTATGACTAAGTGTGTGTCTCTGTATTTCTCTCTCTGCCTCCATCAGTATCTCTCCCTCTCTCTGTATCACTCTACCCGTATCTCCCTCTCACTGTGTCTCTGTTTCTCTCCTCCGCCACCCCTCCGCGACCCTCCCAGCTCCAGCACGCTGTGTCCCTACGCCACGGCCCTCCGCATCCACCTCAGGCTCCCCTTCCCTTCCTGAGCCTCTGCAGTTCTCCGACCTCACCTCCGGCTGCCTCGCCTCGGCCTTCCCGGCTCCTCCTCCCGGCGCTCGGTCCCTCTCCAGGTCTCTGCCTCCCCCTCCTGGTCAGCTGCCCGCACCGCTACCCCGGTCTCCCCGGGGATCCCTCAGCCCCGTTAAGGCGGCCCCCAGCCGAGGCCGACTGGAGCATTTGGGCGGGGGCTGCAGGCTCTGCTGCAGGCTCCAACCCGGGTCCCCACGAGCTGGGGGACCGCGGGTCTAACGGCGCCGGCGGCCCCGAGCACCGAGACCTCGGAGGACTCCCCCAGCTCCACCTTAAGCGCCCCCCCTTCTCCCTTCTGCGGAGGATGCGAACCGCCAGCTCCCGGCCCCAGGTGTCCGGGCCACCCCCCCCCGCCCCCGCACAGCTGGAAGCTGGGGATCAGCCCCCAATGACCCCTCCATCCTGCCCCTGGGACACCCTCCTCCCGCCAGTCCGAGGAGTGTTTGCCGCTGTGAGATCACCCGCCCCCCCGCCAACAACAACGACAAAAAAAAATTAAATAACACCCAGAGAGAGATCAGAGAGGGAGGGGGAGGAGGGAGCAGGGACGAGGGAAGAGAGAGACGGAGAAACAGGAGGAGGTGGGGAGACTGGGAGAGAAGGAAGCTGGAGACCAGGGAGCCCGGGAGGAGGAGGGAGAAGCAGGATGGAGACATGGGGTTAGGTGGCTGGGGGGAGCTGGAAGAAAAGAGAGCAAAGAGGGGGTGTGCGCTAGAACCCAGGAGGTAACCCCGGGGAGAAGCAGCAGGCAGAGAAAGAAGTAGGACGACCGGGAGGTAGAGGGGGGTCGGAGGGTTGGCGGAGAGGAGAGGCACAGAGAGCGGGGAGAGCAGAGAGGAGTGGGTTTGGGGGGGTCTCCGTCCCCCCGCTGCCCCGGTGTTTGGGGAACGGCACTCCCCGTAGGGAGGAGAGGCAGGCTGGAAGTCCTGCGGGGACAGGGTCCCACAGAAGGGCTAAGGAGGAGCTGAGAGACGGGGCCAGGACATTGGGAAGGGGTCGCTCAGAGGCCTCCCGGGGATGGGGGCTGCAGCTCCTCTGAGCGCCCCTCGAGCGCTGGTACTCTGGGCCTCACTGGGGGCGGCAGGTAAGGCCCGGGGGTTGGGGCGGGAGCCCCTGAGGGAAAGGTGGGGGTGGGGTACCAGGGAGAGGGGTTCAGGCTGCTCTCTCCCCAGCTCACATTGGACCTGCACCTGACCCCGAGGACTGGTGGAGCTACAAGGATAATCTCCAAGGAAACTTCGTGCCAGGTGCAGCCAGGGCGGGGACCCAGGAATTGGGGCTGCCGGGTGCCTCCTTCCTCAAACCCAGGAGCCCTCTCCTCCTTGCAGGACCCAGGAGTCCCAGCCCCTTCCTTCCCTCTTCCCTCCCTCGGGAGTAGGGCCCAGCCTCTGAACCCCAGCAGCTCACCATGGGACATTATATATGCGCATTTCAAGTAGTGAGTGGGAGTGAGTGGAAGGAGGAGTGTGGGGGCGCAAGAGAGAGTGTGGGTGTGGGTTTGCAGAGAAAAAGGCAGGTAGGTCTGGCTGCTGCTGGGAACCAGAGGTTCACTGGCCGGGTCCCCTGCCGCGTCCAGCCCTCTCCTGCAACTCCTCTCCCCGGTACATTCATTCTCCAGCTGTGGGACAAGAGAGACTGAAAGAACTACAACTCCCATGGGCTCTGGGGCAGGCAGGAGGTGGATGGGTAGGCTGGCTGCCCTCCGGCCTGCTGGGAGTTGTAGTTCCTTCCCCCAGTGACTTAATGGCAGATAGGTTTGGTTAAGGGGGGATGCTAGATGGTCTTTGGAAACTCCTCCAAGATTGTTCTAGGACCCAGGATTCTGGATCCCAGCCCCCTCCTCCCTCAGACCCAGGAGTCCCTGTTCCCTGCCCTTCCTCTCCTGGGATCCGGGAGTCCAAAACACATCCTTCTCAGCAGATCCCAGGTTTGGGATACAGTCCCTATTTCTGACTCCCTATCCTCTCCGCCCCACCCCTGTCTCCAGGGCCTCCCTTCTGGGGCCTGGTGAATGCAGCCTGGAGTCTGTGTGCTGTGGGGAAGCGGCAGAGCCCCGTGGATGTGGAGCTGAAGAGGGTTCTTTATGACCCCTTTCTGCCCCCACTGAGACTCAGCACTGGGGGAGAGAAGGTAAGGGGTCTGGTGGGACGGGTTACCAAATCCCCTGGGGGTGGGCATGAGTGGGAGTGGGGTGCTGAGGTGGAAGGCCCGCCTGGGGTAAGAAGGGGTAGGCACTGGGTGGAAAGGAGGCTCCTTACACTCTAAAATGGATCACCTGTTCTTCCCTCCCCAAACATGGCTCCCTAGCTTTTCCATGTCTATAAAAGCAATGGTAACACAGACTGTTCCCTGTGCCAGGCATGGTTTTAAAAGCTTGATCAGCTTGCTAATCCTTCCAGCCACCTCATGAGATAGATGCTGCTATTCCCCTTATTTTAAGGATGCAGAAACTCGGGCACAGAGAGATCGAGTTACTTATCTGAGGTCACACAGCTAGAGTGTCAGCACTCGGATTCAAACCCAGGCAGTGTGGTCCTAGCTCCAGGCTCTTACCCACTCTGCAATCCCATTTCTTATAAGAGCTGGCATCCCTCTTCACTCAGCTGCCCCTGCCAAAAGCCGGAGCTACTTCCAACCCGTTCTCGCCCTCATTCCCATGTCCAGTCTGGGTCCTTTTTAGTCTCCCTGCTAAATATCATTCAGATCTTGTCAGTTTGTGTCTCCTCCACTGCCCCCACCATCACCTTGCACCTGGACTGGTGCGGTAGCGTGCTAGCTGGCCTGGTTCTCTGCCTACCGCAATCCATTCTCCACCCCACAGCTAGAGAGATGTTTAAAAACACAAAGCAGATCATACCATGCCCCTGCTCAAAATCTTTCTATTGGGATTAAGTAATACTAACACTTCAAAAGCAAGTACCATGTGCTTGGCACTGTGCCAGGTGTGAGATACATATATATGTATTTATTTATAATTATTTAAATAAAAATACAAAACATCCCATCATTGCCCACAGGCCCTGCCATCTAGCTCCTATCACCTCTCCTTTGCTCACCAGGCACTGGTCCCACTGGCCCCTGCACTAGCACGGAAACAGGCTACCTCAGGGCCTTTGCACTTGCTGTTTCCTCTTTCCAGAATGCCCTTCTCCCTGCTCTTTGCAACAAGTTCCTACTTATCCTTTAGGTCTCCATTCAAATGTCACTTTCTCATGAAGGCCTTTCCTCATCCCATCACCCCCCCACCCCAGTCTAGGCTGGGTTTCCCATTTTACCTGAGCTCCCAGTTCTTTCCTACATGAGCATAAGATGTAATTAATTAAGCAGTTACTTATGTGATTATTTATTGTCTCCTTCTGCTCCATTAGGACACGAGTTCCATTAGGCCCAGGGTTTTTGTCTACTTGTTCATTGCTCCCTTCCTGGCATCCATAGCACACAGTAGCAGCTCAATAGATATTTGTTAGTTGAGTAAATTCACCGATATTGAGCACCAGTGTTCCAACTACGCTGAATGATTAAATGATTGATGGAAGCAGGAAATGTAGGAGTGGAACACAGGAGGGAAAAGACTTTTCCTCTTTGAACTTGTAACGGCTTGCACCTCTCCTGCAGCTCCGGGGAACGCTGTACAACACCGGCCGCCATGTCTCCTTCCTACCTGCAGCCCGGCCCGTGGTCAATGTGTCTGGGGGTCCCCTCCTCTATAGCCACCGGCTTAGTGAACTGCGACTGCTATTTGGAGCACGGGATGGAGCTGGCTCTGAACACCAGATCAACCACCAGGGCTTCTCTGCTGAGGTGGTGGCCACTGACCTCTGACCCTTGACCTTCACCCTGAGTTGCCCCAATTCCTCCCGCCTCACCTTTCTCTTAATGCCTCACCCCACCCTCCTTCACAGAACTGCCCCCCGCCCGCCAAGCACTAATCTTTAACCTGACTTGGGACCCCAAGGGCCCAGGGCTGCACCCATACCCATTCTCTCCTCCCCTTCTGCTGGGGGACCCCATTCTGTGCTCCCCTCCCAGGTGCAGCTCATCCACTTCAACCAAGAACTCTACGGGAACCTCAGCGCCGCCTCCCGGGGCCCCAATGGCCTGGCCATTCTCAGCCTCTTTGTCAATGTGAGCCCAGGCAAGATTCTGAGGGAGGGAGGGGCTGGGTGCCTGCCATTGGGTCTGCGGAAGAGGGAATCTGGGAGGTTGAGACTCCTGGGTCCTGGGGGAGGAAGGGACTGGGGGCTTGGACTTCTGGATGCCTACCTCCTCACCTCATACCCCCACATAGGTGGCTGGCAGCTCGAACCCCTTCCTCAGCCGCCTCCTTAACCGTGACACCATCACCCGCATCTCATACAAGAGTAAGTCCCTGGTGCATTGGTGGGGGGGGGGGAGCAGTGTGTGTAAAGGAGGGAAGTTGAAGAGGGGTACTGCTCCTCACCCTAGCCCGGTATTCCTGCAGACGATGCCTACTTTCTTCAAGACCTGAGCCTGGAGCTCCTGTTCCCCGAATCCTTTGGCTTCATCACTTATCAGGGCTCTCTCAGCACCCCACCCTGCTCAGAGACTGTCACCTGGATCCTCATTGACCGGGCCCTCAATATCACCTCCCTCCAGGTGACCCTCTGTCTGCCCCCTCCAGCCCTGCTAACCCATTCCCTGGCCTGGGCATCCCCCTTGGCCTCACCTACCTTCCTTCCTCCTTCCAAGTCTGACCGCTAGCAGGGTCACACAACTTTTGGGGGTGGGCTGGGGCCGAGTAAGACCCCGCCCACCTGCTCCAGGGGCAGGGCTTCCTCTGTGACCATTGACCCGGACAGTTTATTGTTCACTCTCAGTTTCCCACCCCCTTCCGTGGCAGATGCACTCCCTGAGACTCCTGAGCCAGAATCCTCCGTCCCAGATCTTCCAGAGCCTCAGCGGTAACGGCCGGCCCCTGCAGCCCTTGGCCCACAGGGCCTTGAGGGGCAACAGGGACCCCCGGCACCCCGAGAGGCGCTGCCGAGGCCCCAACTACCGCCTGCATGGTATGGTCCAGCCTGCACCCCCTCCACACGTCTTGGTCTAACCCGCCTATGTGTCTCCCCTTCTTTTCTCAATATGATACAGTCCTTCCCACCCCTTTGCTGTTTCTGTTTGGTCCAGCCTCCTAAGCTCGCACTCGCTCTTTCTCCCTTCGAAGTATGTGTCACATGGTACAGTCCACCTCCACGCCACAGACCACTGCTGGTCCGTGATTTGTCTTTCCTCTTCACTGCTTGCAACTTGCAACTTGCTGTATAACCCGAGCTCCCTGGCTTCCCACCGGGCTGTGGTTCCTATTACGACGGCTTTCCAAAATGGTACAGCCCGGATCCCTTCCCTGTTTTCCATGTGGTACAATCTCATGTTGTTCCATAATCTGACACACACCCCCTTCCTGAAAATCAACATGGTACAATCCCCTTCCCTTTCTACTGCCTTCCTGTGGTTCGACCCTGTGATCTCACGGCCACCCCTCTAGCTTCTCAACATGGTTTGCCCTCCTCCCCCCAATAAACACCTTCACCTAGTTCAGTCTGATGCTGAAGCTGGACGTCCCTATTCCACCTTCCTGCTGCTTAAACCCACTGCCGGTCCAGAATCTGTTTCCCCCAGCTTCTCGACCTGGTACATGCCGGGTTCCCCCTTCGCAGCCTCCTTGTGGTAGAGCCCTACGCGGCCCAGCGCCCGCCCTCTGCAAACCCTCTGCAGGGTCCAACCTATCGTGCCCTAAACTAACGCTACCCCGCCGGTGTCGTCTGTCTTACAGTGGATGGTGCCCCCCATGGTCGCTGAGACTCCCCACTGAGGATTGCGCCTGTCCTTTCCAAGTCTCCCCACACGGGGAGGGGAGTCACCCCCCAAAACAAAGCTATTAAAGGGACAGAATACTTCCGGTTTCTTAGTGGTCTGATTCTAGGCGCGGCGGGGAAACATCTGGGTACCGAAGAACAGCAGTCTTCTTCTAGAAACCGATCTCCCTCTTCCTAAACCGCACTGCTCGGTTTTTTGGCTTCCTGTTTCCCCAAACCGTCGTTTAGATTGGCGGCTCCTTTAAGCGGCGCCTCTTTCACTCCCCCCAACTCACCCTCCCCATCGGGCAGCACGCGCAGAGCCATGTGCTTCCCCCTCCCGCCTGCCTCATTGGCCCGAAGTGGGTCACGGTCCCGCCCCCAGTGCCGTCTCCCATTGGGCAAATGTAGGTCAGGGTCCCGCCTCCCACCTAAAGGCAAGGCAACTTCACGCACTGAACCCCTCACGCGCCCTCCCGGGCCTTGGCGGATCCAGGGGTCCCATTGGCCGTGCGTCTCGAGGGGTCAAGACGCGATTGGCCCGCGCTTTCAGCCGGAGGGAGGCACGCGGCTGGGGTGCTTGGCCCAAAAGGCAGGCGGGGGCCGAGAGGAGGGGTGCGCGCAGTGGCGTCGGGTGTTTTGGTTTGGCTTTTTTTTTTTTTTTTCCGCGAAAGAAGTTTGCGTTGGCCACGCCTCAAGGCGGCCGCCTCCTCTTGCCCCCTCCCCCGCCCCTCCGCGCACACCTCTTGGTGCAGATTGCAAAGCGCCTTCCGCTGAGAGAGCTGCAGATTTTGCAAGATCCAGGCTTGCCCACCTTGTAGAGGGAGCGCCTTGTGTCCCCTTGAACTCTGGGTTGCAAAGAGCCGGCTGCCTGATTTGATCGGCCCCTCACTCGGACTGCATGGTCTCCAGGGACCCTCTTGAGTTGCACGTTTCTGCACTGAGGACTGCAAATCCCCGTCACTCCTAGGATTTGCGGTGATCTGGATACTGGAGGCTTGCAAGCTACGCTCGCCCGCCCCTGGGCAGGCACTCGCCCGGACCACTGGAGTGTGCCGCTGACTGGCAGGCCAGCTCTTCGCCCCTCCATGAGCCCGTGAGCCTGCGGGCAGGTGGCCGGTGATGGCGCGGCCCGTGAGCGACAGGACCCCGGCCCCCCTGCTGCTGGGCGGCCCAGCCGGGGCCCCCCCTGGCGGGGGAGCGCTGCTTGGGCTGCGGAGCCTTCTGCAGGGGACCAGCAAACCCAAAGAGCCAGCCAGCTGTGAGTTCTAGCCCCCATCTATCCCAACCCGGACACCCTACTCCCTTAGGGATTCAGGTGCTGGGGCGGGGGGGCTCACCTCCTACGTGCCGAGAGAGTCCATCCTCCAACCGTCATTTACCGAATTACTAAGGTGTTTAGGCCCCTAGATCCCTCAGCACCCAAGATCCAAAAGTACCGGCGCTCAAGCCCGTCTACCAAGAGGACCCAGGAGTCCCCCCCGAGTCGTCCTCTCCGAGGACCCAAGAGTCTGGACCCCAGCCCCCGCTTCCTTTGGTCCTGAGAGTCTGGACCCCTGGGGTCCAGGGAGGAGGGAGGGGGTGTGTCGGATGCTCACACGGTAGTGACACGGGCTTGGGCGGGGCCTCTTGGGGTCACATGGAGTCTAGGGATGAGGAATGTGCCCCAGGAATAGAGCCCCTTCCTGCCCCTAACAGAGTGTGGGGGTGGGGAGAAGAGGCTACAGTGAGCGGGGGGGATAGGCTACAGAGAAATTACAGAACTGTCATTTTTTCCCTCTCACCTACCTCTCTCTCAACTTCTGTCCCCCTTCTGTACCTCTGTCCCTTCCCTGGTCTGTGTCCTATCCCTCCCTGGGTCCCTATCCTCCCCTCTTTCTGAGCCTCTGTCCCTCTCTCGGTCTCTGTCCCCCTCTCTCTGTCTCTGCCGCGCCCGTCTGTGCCTTCTCTCTCTGGGTCTCTTTCCCTCTCTTGAGTCTCTGTCTCTTCTTTTTGGGTCCTTGCCTTCCCTCCTGTCTCCCCCTCTCCCCCGCCTGTTTCTCTGGATCTCCGCCCTGTGGGTCTCTATCTCCCTTTTCTTCGTGTATCTCTGTCTCGGGGTCCCTTCTCCATCTCTTCCTTCCCACCCCGCCCGGTCTTTCCTCGGCCCGCAGGTCTCCTGAAGGAAAAGGAGCGCAAGGCGGCTCCGCCGGCAGCCACGGTCCCCGGGCCTGGCCTGGAGACGGCGGGCCCGGCGGATGCCCCAGCTGGGGCGGTGGTGGGCGGCGGGTCCCCGCGGGGGCGCCCGGGGGCCGCGCCTGGCCCGGGTCTGTTGGCGCCGCTGCTGTGGGAGCGGACGCTGCCGTTCGGCGACGTGGAGTACGTGGACCTGGACGCCTTCTTGCTGGAGCACGGGCTCCCGCCCAGCCCGCCGCCCCCCGGCGGCCCGTCACCGGCGCCCTCGCCCGTGCGCACGCCCGCACCCTCCCCGGGGCCCGGTTCCTGCGGCTCAGCTTCCCCTCGTTCCTCCCCGGGGCACGCCCCCACCCGGGCTGCCCTCGGGGCCGCGGGCGGCCACCGCGCAGGTGCGACGGCGGGGGCGGGGCAGGGCCCTGGCGGGGCGGGGCTTGGGCCTCAGGGGCAGGGCTGTGCGGCACTTGGGCCCGGGACGGTGGGGCTGGGGTTGTGCGTCCAGATTCTGGGTCCACCTAGGCGCGAGATGCTGGGAGAGGAGTCCGGATTCTTTGTCACTAATGCATCAGGGACTGGGTCTCCTTGGGATCCCACATTCCAGGAAGCCTGCCCCGTGGGGCGGTAGTGTGGACTTTTCCGTGGGATGTGGGGACAGAGGGTCCGGATACTCGAGGAGCCGGGATTCGGATCCCAGAACACCGGAATTATTTACTGGGGAAGGAACTGCGCTCCAGAGTCTGGGCCCGGAGTCGGTGGAGTGGGGAAGGGCCGTAACTGGCTAGGCTCTCTGCAGGGGAGAAAGCAAGGACGTCTGTTTCACCAGGACATAAGAGACTGGCAGCCCGAGCTGCTGGGTCCTCCAGTGGAGAGGAGCTAGGGCCGGCGGTCCCGGAGTCCTCTAGAGGGGAAAAGGTCCGGGATCTTCATTCTGGGTCTTCCGTTAGGGCGAGGACCGAGAGCTTCCTATGTTCCTGGGAGAGGAGGGGCCTGGGATCCCAGAATCCTGTGTATCTCGGTGGTGAGGGAGAAGGTCCAGGGGTCCGTTTGTCAGCGCGCTCCCCAGAGAGCAGGAGGGCCTGGATCTTTGGAAATTGAGAGGTTCGAGCTGAGAGACCCCAGGGAGCAAAAGGAAAAGTGTGCCCCCTCGGGCACTTGGGGGTCTCCACGGGCGGACTGCAGGTTGGGGATTCCTGGACACACCTGTCCCTGGCCGGACCTCCGGGCAGAACCGGGGCCCTCCCCTTTCCAGCCGCACATTCCCGCGCCACGTGAGTCCTCTCCTTCCTCCTCCCTGCTTCTCACTTCGCGCACGCGCGGTCACGCGGAGGGGCGGGGCCTGGGGGAACTAGAGGGCGCCCGCGGCGGCGGAGGGGGGGGGCGGGGCGGGAAAGCAGGCGCCCGCACGTGACTGGCCCTGAACCCGTATCCTCAGCTGACCCCGGCTTGCTCGCTCTTAAAGACACAGTCCGGCCCTGCCCCTTCTGTACCAACCTCCCCAAAACCTCAATCGTTTCTGCTTTTCTTCCCTTACTCGTCGGGGCCAATAGCTCTGAAGCGGCTCACCTGAAGTCTTTTCAGTGCACTGGATTTCTTTTCCCTGAACAGCCTGGGGTCGAGGCTTTGGTCAGGGATTCAGTAAGCAGGATTCAGGCTAGGTAATGGGAAAAGAGCTTAACACTGAATCTGAAGGCCTGAGGTTTCAGAAGCAATAGAGGAGGCTCGTGTGTTACTTAGGGTATGGCAGTTATAATTGGGCCTGTTTCCCTGTTATAAAAGTGGAATTGGTTCCACGATGTCTAAGCACTTTGTAGCTTAGAGAACCTTCATATTTTATATTAGAGAGATTGGTCTCTGGCGGGCTTTGTGGTAGACCTCATAAGGGCCTTCCTTGTGGTCAAAGAGATACCTGAGCAGGGGGTAACCTCTGGGAACCCTCCCTCCCCCAAATAAATACACACTCAAGCGGCACATTCTGTTTCCCCAAGGCCTGACCTCTCGGGACACGCCCAGCCCGGTGGACCCAGACACCGTGGAGGTGCTGATGACATTTGAACCTGACCCAGCTGATTTAGCCCTGTCAAGCATTCCCGGCCACGAGACCTTTGACCCTCGGAGACATCGCTTCTCAGAGGAGGAGCTTAAGCCCCAGCCCATCATGAAGAAGGCCCGGAAGATCCAGGTGCCAGAGGAGCAGAAGGTGAGCACTGCCCCATATAGGATGCAGGCATGGCCCTTACAGGTCCCACAGCTGGGGATGGCCCTTTCCTCACAGACAGGCCTGGGCTTCTCACTGCGGTTAGCTTTCAGGTTCTCTTAACCTGCGGCTAAGCATCAGTTGTCCATAGCCCTGGGGCTCAAAGACAGCGGAGGTTTGGGCTTGAGATTTACAAAGATGGTGTCACTGTGGGATGCAGACTCAGCCAGCCCTGCCAGACCCACCAGTACAGGCTTGGAGCTTTGACCAGGCCCTGTTGCTAAGGACAGCATCCGTTAACAGCAGTATCAGTCTGTTTCTTCTGAGCCGCTAGCTAGGCTGGGGCTGGTCCTTTGATCTCTGATTTGGGGCATCCTTCGGGGTGCTTGCATCTGCCTAGGATGCAGACTTTGCCAGCCCCTCTGGGCTTTGTTTTCTGGCCCTGGACTGCTCATTGGTAAGAGGTTTCAAGTTCCCATTAGCAACCAGAGCCACATTCTGATTTGGGGCAGTGACCATTTTTTTTTGTAGCAGCCTGCCTTTGCCAGTTCTAGGGTCTCCCCTAGTAAGGGGTGCCTGGGCTCCTCTCACCAGACTTCATAACTGTCTGAGTACTGAGGATTGACCCATAAACCCAGTCTAGACCAGTGGTTTCTCCTGTCACAGGGCCCGACTGGATTTACCCTAGTAAGCAGGAACTAGGCTTTAATGAAATGGGGGTGGGAAGAGAGCATCTTTTGGAGCTCTGGGTGGTCCTTGTTACTGAGGAGTGGTCCTTCTCCACAGCCAAATTCTAGGACTGGAGGACCCT